CTCCCCGTACCCCCCCCCCCCAGCCTGTTGTAGTGCGTGGGGTTGTTGTGGCTGAAGTGCAGGACCTGGCACAGCCTTGTTGAATCTCATACAGTTGGCCCCAGCCCAACAATCCAGCCTGTCCAGGTCCCTCTGCAGGGCCTTCCTGCCCTCTAGCAGATCGACATTTCATCTGCCAACTTACTGAGGGTGCACTCAATCCCCTCATCCAGATCATCAATGAAGATGCTGAACAGGACTGGCCCCAGCACTGAGCCCTGGGGAACACCACTCGTGACTGGCCTCCAACTGGATTTGACTCCATGTACAACCACTCTCTGGGCTCGGCCATCCAGCCAGTTTTTAACCCAGCGCAGAGTGCACTTATCCAAACCATGAGCAGCCAGCTTCTCCAGGAGAATGCTGTGGGAAACATGTCAAAGGCCTTACTAAAGTCCAAGCAGACAACATCCACAGCCTTCCCCTCATCCACTCAGCGGGGCACCTTGTCATAGAAGGAGACCAGGTTAGTGAAGCAGGACCTCCCTTTCATAAACCCATGCTGGTTGAGCCTGATCCCCCAGTTGTCCCGCACGTGCTGCGTAATGGTACTCAAGATGACCTGTTCCATGACCTTCCCCGGCACTGAGGTCAGGAATGATCCTCTATAAAATTGTCTAGATTTTTTTTTTAATCTTACATGATACTTTGTGGTATTGAGTTCCATAATTAGGCATTTTGTTTACTTCTTTTTCTTGATAATTTTATTGGGTCTTCTGGGATGCAGTAAATACCTATCTCTTATTCACTCTTTCTGTACCATTCATGTACGCCAGTATCATATCACTTATCTTTCTTCCAACCTGAAGAATCCTAGTTCTTCTATGTGGGAACCATTCCCACACCCCTCTGGACCTTTTTTTATTTCATCTATGCCATTTTTAAGGTAGAGAAGGAGAACAGGGCTTCATGAAGAATTGCAAATGTAAGTACATGTTTATGCAGTGGCAGAAGGTGTTCTGTATGTTCTCCCATCTTTTCTGATACCTTATCCTCAAAAGTGAAATGATGTTGCTGAGAAGTGTGCCAGTGTTTTCAGAAAGCTTCCCCTAATGACTACAGAATCATAATCTCATTTTAAGGATGTTGCATTTTACATGCAATTGGGATTGTATTACTTCTATTGAGCTTAAGCATCATCCAGTAGCATAAAAATAAACTTACTAAGTCAGCACAAGGTTCTGGCTAGTCCGCTACTGTGTCTGATGCGAGCCACTGGGAATGCCAAGAAAAGAGCATAAAAGAAGAAAAGCATAAAGTGATTCCTTCCAGAATACTACTCCAGGCTACAACAATCTGTGTTTTAGCACTTTCTAAGCCAGAGGCCTTTAATTTTGGAGTTTTTTACTTCTTTCTTGAATCTATTCACATTTGCAGTAAATTTCACCTCCCACATCATTGCCCAGTCAACTCTGTAAAATCCTAATAGCCTTTTTTGTAGTTGAGTTTCATTTGACTACCCTGATATATAGCTTGGTATCATCAGCAGTTTCTCTCAATACGGTCTTCATCACTTCTACTCCTCATTAGTTACCAAATACTAACCCTAATACAGATAGCTGCTCTATGTTGTGATAGCAGGTAATATCTTTCTGCACTTTTTCAGTGTTTTAACTACTTATTTACCCACTAAAGGACATGCCTTCTTGTCCCATGGCAGCTTGTTTTTGTTAAGAGCTTTGGCTGATGAACAATCAAAAGTTTTTTAAAAAGTTCAGTATGCTGTGTTGAGATCACTAAACTTGCATGTTTGATGGCTCCTTTGGCAAATTGTAGTCTAAGAGGGTCTAAAAGGAATGACTTCCCTCTAAGCCATGTCGATTTCCTCCCCCCGCCCCCCCCATCTGGATTTTTAACTGCATGTGCCCATGCCTTTCTTCTATACCTGTCTGCCTTGTCTGGAAGTCAGTCATCTGCTTACCAATCCCACTATCCCTTCAAGATGTCAGATTTGTCACGTACATTCATTTGGTTCTGAGGCCTTTTCAAACAACAGGTTAATGCTACGGTTAATAGTTCAGGAAGGATTGTGAACTATAACAACTACTCATACTTGGGTACTGTAACAAGGGCGATACTGCATCTTGGAGTCTGGCTCTAGAGCAGAGGGCAGGCCACTGGGTACAGCTCAGCAGACTATGCAGCTTAGATCTGATGTATCTTCATAGATTTCTGTATTTGAGGTTCTCTGCTACGTTCAAAGACTTTAGAGAGGCTGTCCAGGAGCCAATTTGCACTTGAAGGGAAAAATCTGTGGTTTTGTGGAACTTTTTCCTTTTTACACAAGTATCTCACAGTAGTTGCTCAAGCCAAATTATCACAAAGGGCAGATGTTCCAGGTGTACATCAAAGCACATCAGATAAGCTCTACCAGCTCCTTTCAGGAGGGTAAGGAGGCACTGTAACAGCAGTGTACTTTAGATGCAGAACACATCCTAAAAGGCCTGAGAGACCAAGTTAACTGAGAGTCTGCCCTGCCAGAGTATCTTTCCTGGTGAGTTCCTTTGGTGAGGGACCCAAGTCAGAGTCTAAATTTACAAAAAGGACTTAGTTGTGTGACTTCAACATTAAGCAAGGCCAAAATGCTTACCTCTCTCATTAGCTACAGCATACCATACTGGTGGTCACACTGCTCTTTAGTGTATGCTACTGTATTGAAAGTAGTGAAATGCTTGGAGCACTAGCATACACCTGAGTCCTTTCAGTATATTTGATTTTTCCTAAGGCTTGGCACTTCCAAAAATTTTCAGTGAATCGTGGGTGGTAGGGGCAGGTGTCTTCTCACGCATGTAACTTCCTTCCCAGAATCCGCAGTAGTTGGTACATGAGCTACAGATCACCTAAAAGTTCTGGGCACAGGATTACTGTAAATCACTAAGACTTCAGTGCTGTCTCAAATTCAGCCCCTGGGTATACCCTTATGTCTACATTAACTAAATCAGCTATATACTTAACCTAGCACTTTCTTTTAAAACCTTAACTTTTCTTGTCTGCACAGTTCCCCAGGAGCAGGATGGGCAGCCAGAGGAAGAGGAAATGTTAGTAACACGTGACTCATCAACACCTACTTCATCAGCACTTGAAGAAATGGCCCTGTACAGCAGCAAGCGCAAACTCCGACACAGCCGGCGCAGTTTGGAGGCTGCTGTCCCTACGTAGAAGATCTGATGCACCTGGGCAATGGAATAGCCCAGCACAGGGCTTTTGAGCTTCCTGTGCTCCAGGGACAGCACTGGACTGCCCACACTGCTGCCTCCTGGACTCTGGATGGGAACTGAGCACCCCAGGGAGCATTGTGGTCAACTAACTTCCTTTAAGGCTGTGAACCGCCCTCTTTTCTCACCCAATAATGCACTGGGGCATGTCCTAAACAAAATGGGGCAACACTAGACTTATTGATGGCAAATTGAGAGGAGATGTGGGTAGGACAGTGGGCAGCTGCAGCTTGTTAGCCTGTAAATATTGTGTGTGGGGGAAGGGTAGGACAGAGAGAACATATGAGTGTGAGAGTGTGTTGGGCTCCAGCTGTTATTTCCTCAACTTGGATTTTTTTAGTGGTTAATATGTGAGCTTCTATTCTGGTATGAATTAGAAGGAAGGTCCAGCCTGCCTTTGCTCCTATTTAATTTCCAGTCCTTTGCCAAAAAGCATCTCCTTCCACCTCCCACACCATGTCACCTCGCTTTCTTTTGGGAGTATGTGGAAATGGGTAGCTTGGAAGCAAAGAAAAAGAAAAAAAAAGAATTTCAGTGAAGTGCCTCCCTCTGACACCGACACCTGTGTGCTCAAGCGAAGACGACTGATTAAGCAGGAGCCTGTGCCAGCTCTGTCAGCCACTTGCCTCTGTGAGCGCAGCAATCTATCCTGTGTAGGAAACTGCTCCTGCTAGTGTTTTGTGCTATTCTGGGAGACAGGTACCTACCTAGATGTACACATAATTGTGTGTATCTCATGCATGCAGTGTGAGCCACTACACTGTACAAGCACACTGTACTGAGTGTCAGAGGAGGCCAGGTATCTGTCTTCTGTCAGCACCATGACTGAATTGGTGAACTGGGGCAGAAATGAGAAAGGACCCAAACAGCTGTAGCAAGAGTATAGCAGTGTGCATGTGTGACAGCAATAGAGAGCAGAATAGTTGGGGATTAGGATACGGTGGCAGACATAGGAGGTGTAAACAGCAGATAAGGTAGTGGGTTAGGATTCAGGAAATGGGGAAGGGTAGGAAGTGGCGTTGCTGGGGTCAGGTTAGGAGTAATGGGGTCTTACAGGTAGGAGGATACTAGTGGGTGAGTCCACTATGTTGCCCGCTAGCTGTGAAATGAAATGTGATGTTATGGGGGTGCCCCGTGTGGGGCTCTGAAGGAGTGCCTGCCAGGCAGGGAGCACAATGAAGTAGGATGGGTCTGGCCTATGCCTTGCAATAACTACACAATTCTACTCTGCCAACTTGTTGGCTTCAGGCCCCTTTCCACATAGAACAGGGAAAATACATGCTTGCCCATGCAAGAGGAAAAAACAAAAATGAAAAAGGAGCAGGGGTGTGATTCCTGGTTTCCATGAGTGGAACAAGGGCTGTGAACAAGATTCTGTATCAAGTGAACTCTGCAGATGTGGAGGAGAAAGATGCTGCTTACAGCTCTGAAATCAGTCCCTGCTGCCCACTACTGAAGTAAAACATCCCCCCCCCCTTTTTTTTTAATGCCTCTAATAGGGAGAAAGGCATCTTCTGAACCCCTTCAGCAGTAAGACCAGAGTTGGACCTTAAGCCTTTCAGTGACTCGAAGTGGCTTGGGAGCGACAGGCACTTCTGCTTGTATATTTGCGGAATGAAAGAACTGGATGCAGTTTCTTTTAGTTGAGAATCTCCCTTCATGCCAAAATCCAGTGGATCATTTTAACTGACTACATATGTTTTAATTTTACAAAGCTTTGAAAGGGGAACTCTGATAATCTCAAACTGCAGCTATGGCTGCTTCCATCATCAGCAATTTGAGCTTTTCCTTTTTAAATCTAATTTTAGCATTTGCTTTTTAACAACAGCAATTTTGGAAACAATCCTGGATTGGTTTTGGTGACTAACTTGTGATTCTTTTTTTCTTTCCCTTTGCGGTACCTGGTGCCAGGCTCTGGGTTCTCTCCCATTCTCTCCTGAGAGACTCTGAGGGAAAAATAGCGCATCAAGACTGTAACTAGTGAAATTTGTACAACCAAAGAAATCTATTTTGTGGTTCAAGGATAATAAAGTTTACTTTACATTTTAGAATCTTTACTTAATGTGGTTTGCCCTGTGTGAGGTCTGCAATTTCTATATCAACGCTTTGGTTCTTATTATTAATCACCCACTAATCTACCAAATGTACTGCTTTTGTGTGCAGAAATTAATGATCACCTAAATCAATGCCAGCTGCAGGAATATCAAGATGAGCATGTGCTACTCATGTAAATTTGGTAGAAAACTGGCATCTATGCTGAAAGGGGAGGAAGAGAACGTAAACTAGTAACTATTAGCTTCATCTTCATGTAGTTTGAAAGGGACTCCTTATTTTGGAAGTAGCAGATTTACTCTATGGGGATGGAGGGTAGTAGAGGTTTCTGCTCCAGAGAAGCTGTAGTAGTGAGGAAAGGAAATGGGGACAAACAGGTGAGATGATACATGTAGGTTTAGTTATCACAGTCGTCACTGACACCTATTTAAAAAAACATCATCCTGCTTAATAGAATACAAGAGAGGGAGGTAAATTCAGGAATGAGGGGAAAAAGAGCTATATTGTGCTGTTCAGTGTTACAACCTTTAAGACAAGTACCGATGCTAACTGCAGAGAGACTCTAATTCCATCCACTCAAGGGGCTGATTAGGCACAAAATGTACTTATGTGCTGTGGTGCCCATGCGCTTTGTGCCGGGCCTCTGTCAGTAAAGGCTGCGTAATGTGATGCTGTTGTCTGTGGCAGCAAGGACCAATCCCCTCTACTGCTGCTGAGCTCGGTGGTGCCTGCTGCTCCAGCCTGTTGCCTCACGGGTGTGGAGCACCATCCCTAAGGCTTTGGCTCCATTTGACCAACTGTCAGGGGTGTGGGAGGGAGTGCGCGCGTGTGTGTATGAATGTCGTGGTTTAACCCCAGTCAGCAAATAAGTACCATACAGCTGCTTGCTCACCCTCCCCCCCCCCCCCCCCCCCCCGGGGGCCCCCCCCCCCCCCCGGTGGGATGAGGAAGAGAATTGGGGGGGGGGGAAAAAAGTAAAACCTGTGGGTTGAGATAAAGACAGTTTAATAAGTCAGCAGAGGAAGAAAAAATAATAATGATGATAAAAGAATATACAAAACAAGTGATGTACAATGCAATTGCTCACCACCCGCCGACTGATGCCCAGCCTATCCCCAAGCAATGATCGCTCCCCCCCAGTTAATATACTGAGCATGATGTCGTAGGGTACGGAATAGCCCTTTGGCCAGTCTGGGTCAGCTGTCCTGGCTGTGCCCCTTCCCAACTTCTTGTGCAGCCAGCAGAGCATGGGAAGCTGAAAAATCCTTGACTAGTGTAAACACTGCTTAGCAACAACTAAAACATCAGTGTGTTATGGATGTTATTCTTGTACTAAATTCAAAACACAGCACTATACCAGCTACTAGGAAGAAACTTAACTCTATCCCAGCTGAAACCAAGACAATGAAGGAACACCTGGACACGAGTTAGTAGGTGGCTGTTACAGTAGTAGCCTGGAAGTGATGCACAGCCTGAGCCCTGTTCATCAACTGATGTAATATGTAACACAGTGATATCAGCAAGATCTTAAGCCTCTTGGCTTTCTTTACTTGGCTCTGCATTAAAAAAAAAAAAAAAAAAAAAAAAAA